TGCCAACTTGGGCCAGTGAAGCAACGTCCTCCACAACTAGACTGAAGAACAAAAAGGATAGCAACTTGTCTGTTCCCCTTCCCCCAGTTCCCCAGCACTGTTCCCATCCCCCAATTCCCCAATTAAAAAAAAAAATCTTAAAAAAAAAATAATAATTACCAGGCTATCTCTGTTATGAGATAATAAAACTTTACTTAGTTAATATTTTCAACATTTACTTTACAAAGGAATGTGGGTGTTGACAGACAATAAGATACCGTCTAAATTTTCTGCCTGTTCTGAACTTTTTTCCTGCTCTGAATGGTTGTTGTTATGGTGGATCACTGACCAGGTTTGAGACTTTTTCCGGTGTGTGAAGATCTTTGAGGTAATGGGATTTTCAAGACATCAATTTTCTTTCCTACTTTCTCAGATTGAATTATGATGGGTAGGCAGTTGCTGCTTCTAACACAGAATAAGAATGCACCGCATTCACAAAATATGAAGATGTAAACAAGAAAACACAAAACAAGAAGAACAAGGTTGTTAAAAAAAAAAAACACCAAAATTAAAAAAAAACATGGTTGGGCAAGTGAGTGTGGGAGTGATAAACAGCCCCACATCTGTTTGATCTGTTTTTTTTTCCCTAAGATTTTTATTAGGGAATTGGGGGAGGGGAACAGACAAATTGCTGTCCTTTTGTTCTTCAGTCTAGTTGTGGAGGATGTCACTTCACTGGCCCCTGTTGGTATCATTGCGCTCTTCCTGGGTGAGGCAGTCGCTCGCCACCCATTGGATGGCCGCTTACGGTGGCTCTTGGCAGCTCATGCTGGCTGCCGGCCACTCACACTGGCTGCCAGCCACTCATGGTAGTTCACGGCAGCCCACTGCAGCCCCACTGTAGCCTACAGCATCGCCGGCGACTCATGGCAGCCCAGCTCCAGGTCAAGCTGTTGTTCACCATCTTAGCTGTAGAGGGCACAGCGTCACTGGCCCATGTGGGATCCGAACCAGGGTCCTTCTGCTCAGAGCTGGCGTTCCAAGCCAACTCTTAAGCAATGCGCCACTTGGCTGGCCCTGTTCATCTCTTTTTACTGTGCATGAGGTTATAGCCTGTGTGCATTTGTTTTCCTTTTGGTGTATCGCTTTCCTATTAGGATCAGGAGGTTGATTACAAATATGAGAATCTGGATTAGCCACTCCTGAGAGTGTACCTGTGTGTATTTCTGTAGCCCCTTGCTCTTACTCTGCTACCCACCCTGCTTGCCATTTACTGGACTCACCTAAGGAGTGACCAAGGATGGCAAATACCCGGAGACTTTAATTACTGTGCTTCTTCAATCCTGCCTCCTGAGCCCAAGGAAGATAGCACTTGTTTAGTGCGACACATTTCTGAGCCTGGATTTTGCTTCAGAACCGTTTGGAACAGTGCTCCCAGCAGCCTCTGTCAGTCAGTCAGATACGGCATTAACACCTACTTAACATCTCTGACCAGACCCTTAGAACTAGGTCTGGCTATGACAGAAAAATCAAAATTGAGACCTGGAAGAGGACTGAGATACCCATGCCAGCCCTTTACCTAACAGATGAAAAAAACTGAGGTGGAAGTAGGCAAAGCCACTTATTTAAGATCACCCTTTGCAGCAGTACTGGAATTTAACAGGTTTCCTGCCTCCTAATCCAGCAGCCTTGGTCAGCCTCCTCCATATTACTTGTCTGAACTCAGCTACCCAGATTTCTATGAGTCTAAAAGCTTTCCAGCTTCAGAGAGTATCTTTGCTGAGGCTCCAATATTTGTCACACCTTCCACATTGAACATGAGATGGGGGCCAGGTTGGACCATTAAAGCTAAATATGAAACTTATTTCTAGCTTGTCAGGTAAGGACTCACTGCAGCTTCTCTTGAAGATGGCAGCAGAGAAGTGGGGCCTGCAGCCTGCTTGCTGTGTCTGCAAGGGACACCTATACCTCTGTCCTTGTCACATGACCCAAGGAGCCGCTTGTCTTGGGGGATCTCAGGTGATGCAGGAGCTGCCCAGGGAGCCCTTAGCATGTCCTGGTTAAGAGTGCAGGCTATGAAGTGGCATAGACCACACTTTAAAACCCAGCTTCACTACTTATTCACTGAGTGATTTTGGACAAATTATTTCTCTCCTCATGAGTGTCCTCATCTGTAAAGTGGTATATCGCAAAGGGTTGTTATGATGATTAAAAGAGACAATACATGTAAAGTGCTTAGCACAGTGCCTGGCAGTTACTAACAGTGGCCACCAAGTGACGTCCCAGAAAACGGTGGACCAAGAAGCTCCAGGAATTGGTCCCTCCGCTGAACAACTAGTAAGCTGGCAAAAACTGTCAGAGTCAACTTTTCAGAACGCTAGAATCTAATTTTTAAGAGCCTCATGTCTATTAGGAGAATGCTTAATGAAGAAAGAGGCTGCTAAACTTTGACATTTAAGAAAATCAGAGGGCCGGCCGAGTGGCTCAGTTGGTAAAGAGCTCACTCAAGAGTGCGAGCTCTGAGCAACAGCGGTTCGAGTCCCGCCCGAGCTGAGCAGCCGCTGAGCTGCCAAATGGTGGCAGGATGGCTCAGCTAAAAAAAATAAAAAAAAAAAGAAAATCAGGTCACTGGCTGACTGCTGCGATAACAAGAAAGACACTTCAGTGACCACACAAGAATGTAAGAATAGTTGAGAAAAGTCACTAAAAAAATGGATGACTGCACCCTTCAACAAGCAGCAACAGCATATCATAGGGAGAAGGGAGAATCTGATTTCTAAAATTGCCACATTACAATATTTAAAATGTCCAGTTTTAAAATAAATAAATAAATAAAAGACCTACAAAATAGGAAAGTATGCCCGAATACAGGGAAAAAGAAGAAACTGACAGAGACTGTCCCTGAGAATGCAGTCACTGGATGTCGGCATCCTGGAATTCAGCATAATTATTAAAAGAAAACTTTGTTGGTTATTACAGGAAATACCATACTTTCTTTTGATTTTACATTGTATTAAGAGTATTTTAAATATTTTGCGCATTTTTTCTTAAAGGAAATTACCATTAGGGGGAAAATGATCAGTTTGCACTTGAGGAAAATTAAAATTGAGAAAATTTTACCCTTAGAGCTGGCCTTAAAACACACACACACTCACCACTCTTACTAATTTTTGAATGCTCACATAAATGAACAAAATTAGATTACATTCTCTATATTTTAAGTTAGTCACTCATTAAAGACATTTGAATTTGACACATTCATTATCCTTGTTTGAAATATAGTTTATTTGATATAACATAGAAAATAATGCCTTTATGCCATAATCTTTCCCTATCTGACTGCTCAGACATGGTATGTTCCTAATTTCTTGCTTCAAATGCTACTGGTGTTGCCATTAGCATGAAGGCTTTTCTCCTTTCTCCTTTCCCTATTGAGTTACATGAGTCATAGAAGCTCTGTGTAACCTGAGTGGGTTTGATCAGAAATCTGAGATCGTTTTGAAAGTGAGGAAAGATTCTTCCCACAGAGACTCAGACACAGAGGAATCGCTTGGCAATGAACAAAAGTTTAGATTGGCTATAGAACTGGCTATCAACATGTTAACCCTAGAGCCAGAATTCCAGGCTACACCCAGAACAGTTCTAAGTAATTACAAAAAGCCTAATTTGTGTCCTGAAAGATCCACTTGAATATCTGTGTGCCCCCAAGTTGACCGGTTGAGTGGACTGGCTACCCCCAACCTAAGTCTCCTTTTAGATCCAAAGCAGTGTCAGTGGAGTTGTACGTTTGGGAACATAAAACCTTCATTCACACACATTGGAGCACTGGCTTGGAATAGAACGTAGGAGGATGCAGTGGAGGCAGGAACAATTGTTCCTCTAGCTTCCTTCTAGAAGAGGAGTTTGCTGGTGAGAAAGACGAGCAGGATCTGAAGGGTATCTGCGATGGGGCTGAGGAAGATCCCGTTGGCCACGCTGCTGGTTGTGGTTAGGGTCGAGGATGCGTTTCGGATTCGGGCTGTGGGTAGGGCATGGGTTGTGGGTGGCCTGGTTGTGGAGATCATGACGGGTGGCTTTGTGGTTATTGCTGAAAAATAAATGGCATTAGAACCTCTGTTGGGTGGTGGATAGGCACTAGAGAAACAAGGCTAACCAATGGAACACTGGAGCCAGAGTTCATGAGCAAAATTCAATAAGCATGTCTGAAGGGCCAGGTGTGTGTAGAGGAGGAGGGAAACTATGGGGTAGAGAATGTCAAGGAACAAAAAAATAAGTAAGAAACACACTTAACCCTTAAGGTCTACACAGTCCTAGGGGGGAAGAAATTTATACTTAATTTATGTAACTACTGAATTTGTTGTTGGGTGGGTTGTTGGCCCTCAAGGGTCCTTAATATTGTATTAGATCCATCAGTGCAAATATGATGCAGAATGGCACAATTGTATTTTTTTTCTTGCTAATTACAAAGGCTGCATATAAAGCTTGTAAGAAATCGATACCATCCAGATCTGAAGATGGCTTCTCCTGCTTTAAAATAAGTGGAAAGAGGAGTTGTCCAATCCCCTGAATCTCTTTCTGTGGTTTCTGAGGACTGGTCATTTTCCCATGTAGGGCTCTGACCATGCATGTGTTCTCTGAGGTTGCCTGGCTGAGAAGCAGAGAAAGTCAGGCCTGTAACCCTGGGGAGTAGGGGGTGGGTGGGATGCTTGATCATGGAAAAACTGGAGCTTGGCAGTGATACCTCCAAGGGTCTGAGTGGACCTCAGAGGGGACTCTAAGGAAGGAGGAAGGGACAGGTCCAGTGATTTGCTTAGACCATGCATTTTTCTGCCTTCCTGAGGGTGCCTTTAGGTTCTGTGGCATTGTCTTATCTCATTTAGCATTTCCCCAGGGCAAATGTTTCTCTAGCATCTCACTGAGTCAGAAAGTCAGACACAACCACTTTCTTTTTCTGTTTTCAACTGGGTTTTATTAGCATGGAGCTAAGGAGTCCTGACTAGAAACAAACTTTTTTCCCCCTTCCTTCTAAGTATTTATACCAGTGTTCATCTTGAAAATGTCCCTGAGAAGGAAGATAGCATCCAATCTTTTCAGAGGGGAAACCACCAAGGAAATAGTTAAGGCTTTCATATAATAGTTTCATTAGGCATAATCACTTTAAAATTTATGGTTGAAAATAGATATTCCTTTTGATTACATTTGCAGTGCACGACTGGCAGGAAAGTGGGCAGTGTGGTAGATGTATTTCAGTGTTTTGGGGCTCCTGAGGAAGACCTGTTATCCGGACACTGAGAAATACTAACGTTTCTTGTTCTTGGTTGAACCTTGTATTTAAAAACTTTAGGCTGGCTGAGTGGCTCAGTTGGTTAAGAGCTTGCTCAAGAGTGTGAGCTCTGAGCAACAGGGTCCCCAGTTCAATTCCCACATGGGTTGGTGGCTACGCCCCACCTGCAACTTAGTGAACACAGCACTTTGAGCTGAGCAGCGTGACTGGACTTGGAGCTGAGCTAGCTGCACCCTCCACAACTAAGATTGAAGGACAACAACTTGGCTGTTCCCCTCCCCCAATTCCCCAATAAAATCTTTAAAAAAACCCAAAAACGGCATTAAAAAAAAAAGACTGTCTTTATAGTTTTGATGTAAGTCTAAGAAAAGTGGAAAATGTATGAGGTGTGGAATTTGAGTCCTAGTTTTGCCATTTACTTTCTGTGTGGCCTTAGGCAAGTTACCTATCTTTCCTGAACCTCAGTTTCTTGAATTTTTTTTTAGCTGCCTCATAGGAGGTGAGAGAAGGAAGGGGATGGGAAAAGGAGGGCAGGGAGCCTCAGGATGGTGTGACGGTGAGGACTACAGCCTGTGAAAGACCAGTGCAAATTCATGATGGTGGTGGTCGTGGCTAAAGGCCACTCTGAGAACTAATGAAATATTTGGTATTTCGATGCTTTCTACCCTTCTTTGTGCAAATCTGCCCCCTGCTTCCTGTAAAGTCTGCTATGCCCAGGAAGGCTTTGTGTGAGTGGGAAGTCTTTGTGGAAATGGAGGAAGGAGCTGACTTTCATCTTGTTGTCTATGTGGTATTGAATAAAAACAGCCGAGGAAGCAGGATACTGGAGCCACGGGTGGCTGAGAGACTATGATGCCCTTGGGAACTGGCAGAAATCTTAGGGATGGTTTTTGTAGTCTACAAGGCACAGGAGAAGGGGTTGAGCTAATCTTATGTAGGTCTCAAGATGCTAGAAGGCTCAACTGGTATTTTGGTAATGCATGATTAGAAGACTTTTTCTAGGGCACCCACAAAGTATTTTCCAGGCTAATTGAGTTCACTGCCAGATATGTAAATGGGATGCAGAGGAACTTACCTTGTTTTTTCAGTGTTAGAGAAGAAAATGTAGCCATTCTGTCGAAACTGATAGTGAAGGCTCTGTGGAGGGTAAATCAATGAAATTAGATAATGGTGCGGACCTCAGCTGTGGAACTCACAAGTTCAGCTCCCGATTCTGCCTTCCCAGAGGATCCCAACCTCTTAATTCCTTTTGTGCTTCCTTTCTCTACAGCACAATTAGCAGATCGTCAAGTACTGGTCTGCTCTGTACTGTTTTAAATAAGATCCTCCATGGTCTTGCTCCAGGGAAGATAATATCCAAACCCCCCCCCCCCCCAAACAACTTCACTACCCTGAACTCCCTGCAGGCTGATGATACACCTATGGTCTTTGTTCAAGCCAGTCTTTCTGCCTGTAATATCCATCTGGGCCACATCTGCCCATAGATTTAAAAGTAACTCTATGAAGTTGTTCACCCTGTTATCATTAACTCAGACAGATCTCCCTCGGAGACATGCCCCTCTACTTCATTGTTTTGCTATGAGCCTCACACCCTCGTAGAGGACCAGCTCCTTGAGAGCAGGTTCTGTTATCAACAGTGACTGATACATAGGAGGTGCTTAATATTCATGAAATGATCTGTAGAGCTTGGTCTGTTTTTATTCTATTAGTAGGTCCATTATTATATTAGTCTCTTGTTCATGCACTCAACAATTAATTAATGAGAGTACTACATGCCAATCACTGTGCTTGGTGCTGAGGGAACAGTGGTGAACCAGACAGGCATGGTTTTCACCCTTGTGGCACTTACAGTCCCTTCAGAGAGACAGATTTTAAATGAATAATCAACTAAAGAAGTAATTGACCACAGTGGTGATATGTGCTCTGACGAAGCAGTGGAAGTTGTGAGAGTGAATAACCGGGAGCCGGAACTTATCTGGGAGTTTAGGGAATGCTTGTTTAGGGAAGTGATGTTTAACCTCAGTAATTATTTCTGTATAAGCCTTGCCTCACCAACCCTCACTGTGAAGTCTGTGGCTGGGGACCTCTTCACATCCCTTTTGTGTCCTACCCAACATAGTGGAATTCCCTGCATTCTGTATCCCCCATCATCTGTGCTGCTCCCCAATCCTTGTCAGCCTTGTTGACCAAACCCAGCTGTGTACACTGTAAACAAGCAGAGAAGCCACTGCATCATAGCAGGGTGTGCGATGGGCAGGAAACCACCCTGTCAGTGGGAATGTGTGTGTCTGTGGCAGTGGGCCCTAGACAAAGGCCTTCCCAGACCATGTGGTCACCAAAGATTTTGCGCTGGCTTCGGACAAAGACATTCCTGAACTGTATGGTCATCAAGACTTCCCCGTGTAATATTTCCAAATTCCTACCTCACCCGTGGACCAGTCAGGAACTGGCACAATAGCCACATGTCTGAATAATAAATCTTAGCTGCCAACCTGGAAACCTCAGGGTATATAGCCCCAAGTCCCACCCGGGCCAGGGCTCAGCCTCTGGATGTGAATCTGCTGAGCCAGTGCCGGCATTAATAAAAGTTGCTTCCCATGCCTTGGTGTCCTGTCTCTTTGTCTGGGTTCCCTGCAACATGTCTATTGCAGATTGTCGCTGCCTGGTTTTTTTATCTGTTGTTCCATGGAGTATGGAGGCTTTAAGGGAGCGAGATGAAAGGAAAGTCATTGCCCTATTTAGTCTTGGCTGACCTCTAAGAGACTGCTATAGTCGTGAGGCTGGATTGTAGCAGCTCCCTTTGGATTCTACTCTTTCAAGTCACTCTGTGGGAGCCAGCTAGGTTCAAGCAAGTGCAGGGCATGGGAGGGGGGAACGGCTTGACAGCATCATCACCACTATTGTCCACAGAGACTTGGTTGTGTTCACAGTGAACATGGCCTGATGGTCAGATCTGTCCTTTCAGCACAAAATGGCAGTCCAAAAGTGTAAGGACCTTTCAACATTTGGTTTCTAAAGTAAGCTTGACAACAAGCCCCTAGCTGGGAGGAAGTTTGTTTGTTAAAGTGTAATGTGAGCCCCCAGTTGAAATGAAAGTGTGTCCATTTGGTGTGACACTAGAAAGCCAGGTTTATTATACAATCATCACACTTCCTGTTAGCAAGCCGTTTCTGGAATGAATCTATGTTTTAAAAAATGATTCTCCAGTTTGAATATAGAGAATTTGAAGCAAACAGGATGCCCAGCGACAAGAATCCTTTGCTTAACCAAACTTTAGTCAGGCTCCCAAAATTTCTCCTATGCCCATGTGTATAGTTGTAAAATCCAGTTTTAGCAAGAACCCTGCTAAGTCAGTTTAGCAAGAACCTGTCACCCTCGATATCTGATCACCCTGAATGTCTGATTGGGCTCCTCATCTTCTCTCATCCCCCAGGTGATGGCTGATCAACCTGGCCTGCCTTCAGAAACAATCCTGTTAGGCCAGTTCAGCCAGAATCCCCCTTACAGACCTGGATGTTTCCTGTAGGTAACTTTCCATCCACTAACCCTCACCCTGCTCCTTGGCTATACATCTCCACTTGCCCATGTTGTATTCAGAACTGAGCCTGGTCCTATGCTGAGGTCTCTTTTCTCCCATTGCAATAGTCCTGAATAAAATCTGTTTTTTACTTTATGTATGTAATCATTAATTCATTTATTTTGCTTTACTTACTGCCAGCTCTGGTTTTCTTTAACACTAGTTCTTTCTGTTTATGTCAAGCATAGCTGGTGTGTGTGTGTACTCCTATAGATAAAAGGTAGGACAAAGACTGGTGAGTCAGAAAAGGAGTATAGGTACTTAATTCTCCACATGATATTTAGATTGTATTTTGAGTCCTCCAAGATCAGTGTGAAATTGCATAAACGCAATATGAAATTGTAAAAGCCCAAAGCAAATCATATATAGATAGGTTCTTACTGGATGTTGACTGCAGTTATGTTCATGGAATGAGGAGATTCCCAGTAGGCCATGAGGAGGTTGCTGTGTGAGTTTGCGCGATACAGGCTGCTGCTGTTGCAATCCCGGTCTGCGTCGTGCCACAAGCCCAATGACTTGTTGTTCATGTCCATTGCGCGCATGACTACAGAGTCGACATTGTTATTCACAGGAACATATACTGTGAGAAATGATAAGGAAACAATCAGCCATCTATGCAGTAAGACAAGGGATGAGGGTCATGAAACCAAAATAAAGTGTGAAAAAAAAAGTCACAAATAGCATGTATATATAGTATGGTCCCATTTTTGTAAAAGAAATTGAGAAAAGTCTGGGAGGAAAGACAAGATATTAACTGTGGTGAGTTCTAGTTCTAATATTTTAGTTTGTCCATTTCCTCTCTTAGAAGATCCTTTCTGAATGAATTCCTCAATGCTAAGGTGTTCTCCGGGGCCCTCTCAGCCACCCACGATTCCTTCAGAGACTTCTTCACAAAGCAAAGAAAACTGATCATGGAGCACAATAGGATCTGACAGTCCTGGTTTGAATTCCAGCTCTAACATTTGGGACCAAGTCATTTTAGCTCTGAGCTTCAGTTTCCTTATTTTTCATCATTCACTCTACAAATATTTATTGAATACCCACTTTGTGGCAGGCCTGGTTCTAGGTCTGGGGCTAATGACGTTATCCCTTATTATATGGAGATCATGATACCTAATCTTGAAAGGTTCTTGGGAGGAGTAAAGAGAAGAATGCAAACACCCACATGGTGGGTGCTAGATAAATTGCAGTTGTTGTTATTATTTTTAGCATGAAACACTTCTCTGTTCTATTTGTCTTTGCCAATGAAGGTGGGCTGAGCCGGATCCCATGGGCCCGGACTTGCTCAATGAGAACCTGACATTTGTCCTAGAAGTGACAAGTGATGGTATCATCCAGATAGTGATCAGGTCTGTCAGCTCTCCGTGGCATGCTCTTGCCTCTGTCCTTTCTTCTGCACTCCCTCTCTCACCCTGGCTTATGTCCTCTTTTCTTCTCTCCTAGGCATCAGTATTATTTGGATTTCTGTCTCCATGTTCTCCTTTTGGGCTGCGGCCAGATCAGACTTCCACATACAGCACTTCCATCAGGAGGCACTCGTGCTCTTCTCTCTAGAGCATCTAGACACTTCCACTTTTGTAGTTCTGCTTTTGTTCTGTCAGCTACGGTAGCCAGCACATGGCTTTTATGACCCTCAGAAGCTAGCTCCTGGTGCTGCGTGTGCCACCACTCGAGGGGCAGCCAGTCTTCCTCTGCTTCTGCAGGCACACCTGGCTCCCACCTGCCCTGGCCTTTGCTCACCTCTGGTTGCCTGCCTGTGTGAACCCTCACTTCGTTCTCATCACACATCCCATCCTCGCTTACTCTCCAAAGATCCTGCTTGTGTCCCACCTCCAGGCCAGTTCAGGCCTCTTTCCCTCTCACTCCTGAAACATATGTTTTTTACTGTAAACTTGAGTGCTTCATTACATTCTGGCTTGTACTATATACTGTGGTTTCATATGTGTCAGTATCTGGCCAACCCAGTGCTGGGCACCTGGAGGGTACTATTAGATAACTACCAACTGATTGATTTACAAAGTTGTGCATCCAATGTTGTATAGTGCCCTTAAAGCTGAAGGTTCAGAGAAAAAGGCAGGCAAGTTACATCCCTATTGCCCAGAGAAGTAAAAGTGGAGGCAGATGCTTACCCAGCAGTCTTAACATAAATGGCACTGCGTTATGGGTTTCTGTCAGTGATGTGAAGATAGACTCAGGGAACCTGTTCTAAGGTATTGCCTGAGCTGCAATTGTGTGTTGGGGCCTGCCAAGCCATTTATACATGACTTACCAGGGTCGGCATTGGTAAGCCATGTATAATTTATAAACCCTGAAATTAAAAACATTTCAAAATCAGAATAAGGAGAAGCAGTTGGCCTGTGTGGGCATTTACTCATCCCCCTAAAAGCTCCGAGTCCCCACCCCGTCCTGCAAGGTAATCTACAAAGACATCCTGGAGACCGTTTTGTAATCCTGGGCGTGGAACCTGGCATGTCACACCTCCGTGGGCACAGGATTGTGACTCTCAACTTAAATCATTCCTATAGTGAGTCAGTAGATCCCAGGACTCTAACATATTTTTGTTCTGAGGTGAAATCATGCCATTTGGGGAGGGTTTTCGTAGGCATTCCTTTCGTCCTTCTCCTTTCCTCTGCTCTGCCTACTGCCTCGGAATCCCTCTCACCCAGCATCTCCCCTTTCAAGGGGTCTTTCCCTTGTAAGGGGTCTTATGGACCATCTTTTGACTCTTCTTTCTCCTGTCTTCCTACGTTCAGAAACCTCCTAATCCCCGCCCCACATCTGCGCCCCCCTTCCCCGTCTTCACAAGATAGGTCTCCATTTCAGCAGCAAAGTCCTTCGCCTCATAATATGTTATCTTAAGTCAGAGGTCTGTAATCTCTTTTGCGGTAGTGCCTCTGCCCCTCCCCAAGACCCTTCCCCAAATATAAGGTCACACGTACTCCCTCCAGGTCTTCATCTTAAATTATAAGATTATCCTCCCTGCCCTGTTGGACAAGATCCACGGCCTAAGCAAGTAGGACAGAGTGAGCCCTATCACAACTGAGGAACTTAGTGACAATCTCCATGAAAACCCCCCAGAAAAAAGTACAAGCTGCCATGGGTGTGTGAAGGCAGGCTCCTGCTGGAGTCATCCTCCTGCTGAAGCCTGGAACCTGTACATCATGAGTGTGGGTATCGCTTTGGTGGTCTCTGCAGAATTTGGTTAGAGTTCTAAGGGGCAGGATAACAGAGTAAATAAGAAGACAGGCTCTGAATGAAGTTGGACAGCCTGACTGAACAAAGCTGGGCTGTTATTTAGGTTTAAATATTAGCTGTGTTACTTACTAGTGACCTTGGGTAAAACTTTAACTTGCCTGTGCCTCAGTTCTCATCTGTAAAATGGGACAATAATAGTATTGACCCTTAGAACAGAACCCAGCACATAGTAGGACGTTTCTGCTCTCATTACTATAATTGAGGGGTATATAGTGTACTGGCTAAAGGCAGTCTCTGAAGGTAAAATGCTTGGGTTCATATCTCACCCAGCTCCACCATTTAAGTAGTTCTGTGACCTGATCAAGTCACTAGAATCTCTACCTCTGTTTTCTCATCTACAAAACAGGAATGACAGTGGTCTCTACCTAATAGGTTGTTATGAGGCTAAGCGCATTAATACATGTAAACCACCATATTACATGTTGTTATGAAAGTAATTAGAAAACTCTTGCCTTGACTTGTAGGTTTGGCTGATTCAAAGGTATACTTATAAAATATTACTGGGCACCTCTGAGAAAAGCATTGAATTAGGAATGAAAATAGCAAGACTCAAGAGCTAGTTCTGCCACTTACTAACAGTGAGACCTTAGCAAGTCATTTAATTTCTCTTGGCTTCAGACTCCTCCTGTAGAAAGTGGGATAGTAATAGTTTCCCTGTCTTGCTCACTAAATTTTTCACTCGTGGACTACATGTGAACAGTGCTTCCTGGAGTTGTGCAATATAGTCATGCACCGTGGGACTCTTTTATCTGATGGATATGAAAAGACTACAAAATGTGAAACAATTATGACTCCTTAAAATAATAAAAATGCCCATTTTATTTAAGTCAGAGAACCTGCCGCAGATGTGCTCTTACTGGGGCTCAGTTAACCTGGGCGTTGGAACTTAATGACTCCTGTGACTCAGGTTGGCACAGGGAACACGCAGAAATAGTCCCACCCAACCCACTCTCTCACATATTCTCATTCTTTCTGTCCCCACTTCCCATCTGGGTAAAAAACACATTATGTGTAATTGAGAGCAGAGATGGAGAGCTATAGTCTAAGATGATGGTTAACTCCCCTTAGAGAAAAAAGACAACAGAGAGAATGGTTTCTACTCACTTGTGTAAGTTGTGTCGCTGTGATAGACATCTGGAATAGCCTTGATGCCTGGAGCAGTGGTGGGGACGATCTTACTGAAGAGCATGCAGCTGTCACTGAAATTTGCAGAACTGGTAGAAATAAACAGCATTACAAGACACAGAAACAGCCCCAGTGGCAGCAGTGTGGAACTGAGGACTGCCATGGTCTTGATCTGTTTGGAAACTGGAACTGGGTAAGACCTACCTACCTACCTCACCTGTTTATACTGGGACTGGGTGAGCTCATACATGCAAATCCTCTCACCCCTCCCTGCATCTCATTCAGCTCAGTATCTGCTATTGGAAGAAAACTGTTGAGAAAGGTTTAATGCTGGCAAAATGAAATTCGGAGTTGAGTGAGCATCACATACCTGGCCTATTTAGAAGCTCCACTTTTCTCACTGCAGGTAACTCAGGCATAAAAACCTTCTTTTCTTAGAATATTATATATCCATTTCCAACTCTCCTTAATGGAACATGTCTCCAGTCTCAGTTCCTTTTGTGACTAGCATAGAACTAGAAACATTGTGCTTCTGGGTTTATTTATTTATTTGGAAAGAAACAGCTTTGGTCCATCTTGCTCCATAGCACATAGAACAAGGACACTACTAAAAATAAAAATCAGAAAACATGTTTTTTTCATGTCTCTCCTCTGATTTTTATGATTTACTCACTGAAGGACAAAAGAAGGAAGAAGTAGTCTACTATGTGAGTAGAAAGAAAAAAAGTGTAGAATTGAATCAACATATTTATGAATGTTTTTTTCAAGAGAAAAAACAGAATAGTGGAATAAGGTATCTCTGAAAAATTTACTCCTCCAGAAAATCAATGAGAACACTAGCAAAAAATGGTCAAAAATCAACTTTTTATGAACTCTATGAATTAACCAAAGCTTGCAACAATCTGAGGAGCATTTGTTTAAGAAAAATGGCTGAATCGCATTAAGCACAGTGAGCATTATGACATTTTGACTTGCCCTGTTTCCACCCCCCTCACCCTAGCTCTGTGGTAGCCTTAGAAATCAACAACCTTGCAACTATGCAGCCACAAGGCCCAGCAAACTGGCATCCAGTGGAAGGGGACAGATGTGATTGGAGCTCTCCACAAAGCCTCATTTCCAGAGGATTGTCACTATGTGACCTGTCTGGAAATTGCCTATAAAGCTGCAGTCTCAGGGCTTGTCTTTATTTGATCAGAATCAGAATGTTCTCTGTGCAGACACCGTACTGCTAGGATATTTGTTAAAAATAAAGAGTGGGATTTTTTTTTTTTTAACATTGTAACTGCCTGAGGCAGTATTTCCAATTGGTGCTAACAAGGAGCTGAGCAAAAAAAGAAAAGGGCAAAACTGGGGAGTAAAATGTTACTTGTAGCCTTTGAAAAGCTCTGACTAATTCCTGGGAATCTAGAAGGCTATGTGCAGGGTTATGCACACGCCCAGGAAAGATTCAAGAAATCCCTAATCTCTCATTTACAGCTCTGTACAAATAGGAAATTAAGGCCAAGGCAGAATTATAAACTGCTTATCTGATCAGTGAAGGCACATTCCAAAGCACACAGACAGAGGAATTTGGCAAAGGTTGGGAGACTTAATGTTTCAAGACACTAGAAAAAAACCTCTGTCTATTCATTAGCTGCCTAAGCTAACTGAGCAGAGACTTCAGTGGCCACACATGATAAAGAATATAGGCTTTAAAGAATTAATTTTATCAAGTTTCTAAACAAACAGCAGCAGCAGCATCAACTGCAGCAGCAACAACAACCACCAATGGGAACTGCAATAAATCCAATAAACAGAAGGAATCTGGTGTCCAGAATGGCCACATTATAATTTTTAAATGTTCAGTTTTCAACAAAAAAATTACAAGACATACAAAGAAACAAGAATGTATAGTCCATAAACAGGAGAAAACTCCTAACTAATAGGAACTGTCCCCAAGGAGGCCCAGATGTTGGATTTATTAGATAAAGATGCATGAGATGGGCAAATGATTTGAATACTTTCTCCAAAGAAGATATACAAATGGCCAATATATACATGTAAAGATGCTCAACATGATTAGTCATTAGAATAATGTAAATCAAAATTACAAAGAGATACCAATTTCGAGCCACTAGGATGGCTATGATGAAAATGACAGATGATAACAAGTGTTGGCAAAGATATAGAGAAATTGGAATTCTCATGAAAAAAATAAGTAAGAAACACATGTTATCCTTAAGGTCTACACAGTCACTTTGGAAGACAGTTTGACATTTCTTCAAAAAATTAAACATAGAATTACTATTATATGAGGTCTAACAATTAGTTTGCGAACTCACCCTAGAAAAAGTGTTAACATACCTCATTGCTGAATATCAGTATGGGCACCTTTGAAGTATTCCCCTTGGGAAGCTATGCACTGATGCCAGCACCTAGTCCACCCTTCAAAGCAATTCTAGAACTCTTTTTCTGGAATGGCCATCAGAGCTGTCGTTGTATTACCCTTGATGTCCTGAATATCATCAAAATGTCTTCCTTTTAATATTTCTTTTATCTTCAGGTAAAGAAAGAAGTCATTGGGGGCGAGATCAGGTGGGTAGAGAGGGTATTCCAATACAGTTATTTTGTTTGCTGGCTAAAAACTCCCTCATAGACAGTGCCACGTGAGCTGGTGCATTGTCGTGATGCAAGAGCCATGAGTTGTTGGCAAAAAGTTCAGGTCATCTAACTTTTTTTGCAGGGTAGGGGGTGGTGGTGGTGATGGAAATGTCCTGGAATTATATAGTAGTGATAGTTTCATAATCTTGTGAATATACTAAAAATCACT